CCGGGCCCCCGCCTCTCCTGGATGGGTCCTGCTGCAGCCCGGCCTGCCCACGTCGGTCCTGGGCGGCGGCTGGCGAGCAAGGATATTTTTAAGCCAGCGATGGGTGACTCACCCGCCCCGTCCTGCCCCTTCCCAGCTCTGGGGCTTGGTGGGGGCAATCCCTGCGTCCGGAGAGCGCAGGTGGTAGGGAGGCTTCTCCCGCTTCTGTGGGCCGCAGGACCTTCCCGAGGAGAGCACCGCACGCCCACTCCCTGTGGGCCAGAGCCAAGAGGCACTTCCTGGGTGTCGGAGCCCAGAAGGAAGCCAGTGGCCTGGGAAGCACCAGCTGGGTCGGTCTCCAGGTCAGGGTCGGGGGTGGGAGTTTCAGGGGGAGGGGAGGCTGGGACGGGGGCTGCAGAGGCCCTGCCAGGTGAGGCAGTAGGGTGGGCTGGCAGGAGCCTGTGGGCAGGCGAACTTCGGCCATCCTAGATTCCTGGTCCCTGGGTCCAGCTGCCTGGCGTTGCCCCTTGCTGTGGGGTGTCCCTGGTGGCAGGGGAGGGGGAGGCAGGGCCAGGCATGCCTGGACCTCTGTCCCCACCCACCCCGTGCCCAGTCCCGGGGAGGCAGGCCCAGCTGGTGACGGCCCCTCCCCTCGCGGCCCCTCCTCCCCTTGCTGCCTCTCCTTGGTCCCAGCCTCTCCTGGGCCTGCTTAGCACCCAGGCCTTATTGGCACAGCGCTCCCACGGGGCCTCCTCTGGCTGCTTGGGTCTCCTTCCCTACCCTCAGCTTCCCCAGCTTATCCCTTTCTCCTTCAAGACGTAGCTTCCAAACCAGGACACGGCCAGGGCCTGAGGGGCACCCCCATTCCAGAGCCCCACCCAGCTCCCATGAGGGCAGCCTGGAGCCCCCATGACTCAGCTGACCCCTACCCAAGGTCACTCAGCATGTGGAGCTGGAATTTGAACTTGGAGCCTGTCTCTCTACCCTCTTGCCCTGCTGGGACCTCCTCCCCTCCACAGCCTGACTGACAAGGCACCCCGCTCTGCCCCACTTCACACCGGGAAAATGACCACAGTACAAAGTGCAGCCTGGGCCTCCAGGGCTTGGACCCCACCCCCAGTGGGCCAAAGAAGCTTCCCCAGGGGGGCGGGGCTCCCACGGGTCAGAAGGCAGCCCCATACCCAGGTGCTTCAGACCCAGACACCACACCTGGACCCACCCCACTGCAGCCCGGCCCTGCCTGGGCCTGAGGTCCCCCCCATACCCTGCAGGCAACCGAAGGATGAAGGACGGGAACCTGGCCTTCCCCGGGAGGTCGTGTGTCACAGCCCTCTGTGTTTGTGTGCCTGCAGGCCTGGGTGCGAGGGCGCATTGGTGTCTTGCCCAGGTGTGTTCCTGGACACATGTGCCTGGCGCCCTTGGTGAACCCCGCCAGGAATCCCATTAAGCAAACACTCAGGCTTGCCACTGAGCCCGTGAACATTCCAGACATTCTCCACGGAGAGACAGAGGAAGTGGCCACGCCCCCTTGGTGCACCCAGCCCCTCATGGCAGAGGCAGTGCCCCCGGGCCCCCCAGACCCTCCCTCTAGGCCAGACCTGGTGAAACCAGAAAGTCCCGGGTGCTGCGGGCCACTCCCTTGACCCTCCATACCAGCAACGCTGGCTGGTGACCCCCACCCTGGCAGACCCAAACTCTGAAGCCACAGGGGACGGCCCTGTGGCCCTGGCAGGAGGCGGATGGTGTGGACCTGTGGGGAGCTGGTCACAGAGCCACAGAACAGCCAGGTTCCCACAGGGCATAGTCCCCTTGGGGCAAGTCAGTCTGGTTCAAGGCCATCAGGCTCTGCCCATCCCCCTGGGAAGGCCCCAGGGTCCAGCCCAAATCAGACCCACCTGCCTGCCCTGGCAGCTGGGACTTAGTTTCCCCAAAATGCATCAGGGTAGAGGGCAGTGCTGGGAGCCCAGAGACAGGCTCTGGGGATTCTGCCCCTGGGGAGGCCAGAGGCGCCAGCTGCCTACCCCATAGCCGCCCTACCTCGTTGGAGGGGCAGTGATACTGTGTGTTGGGGCCACTGGACTGGCTCCCGGTCTCAGCCCCCACCACACCTGCCCTCCAGTCCCTCCCCTGGGCTCGGCTGCCAAGGGTCCTGTGCTGGCCGCGGGGCCACATCCCTGCCCTCGGGGTGAGGAAACGCCACACCCCGGGAACCCCAGGGTTTCCTGCCCGCACAGACTGTTCCCGGCCAGGCCTCCCAGACCCAGGAAAGAACCAAAAGCTGGCCTCTTTGCTGGGGCCTGGACAGAGGTGGCATGCGTGGGTGGCAAGTCTACATGCATGTGCAGGAGCTCCTTGGGGTGCAGGCCTGGGGTGGGGCAGGAGTGGCAGCTACAGCTGGGCTCCCTCTGGACTTCAGGATCCACCCCCACCCCCAGCTCCAGCCTCACCTCTCCTGCCATCCTGCAGCTCCCACCCACCCT